ACACACACACACACACACACACACACACACACACACACGTGTAGATACACCCCAATGCCAACAAAAGTCCGAACTGTAATCCAAGGTTGCAGTGGGGCTTGGAGGCGGGCAAGGGAAGGAGGCAGCTTTGAGAGAAATGGGGGGTGGGACGTAGGGCCTGGCAATGCCGCCTGGAGCTGGCCTTTGAAGGAATGCAGCTCCAGAGCCGCAAGAAAAGGTTAGACCTAGGAGGAACTTCCCAACAGCTGGTCTGGCATGGGATGGGCGGTTAAACACACTTCATGGGTTTCACACAATGTCAGAGCTGGAAGGAGACATGAGTCCTACACCTTCATTTTACAAAGGAGGAAACTGAGGCCCAGTGGGGTGATGGGACTTGCCCAAGGTCACAAAGCTACTCAGATGCTCCTCTGAAGGGGAGGTGGAGGATGGGTCATATGACCTCCGTTCCCTTCCAACCCCACCCCCTCCCCGCAGATTCCCGGTCCTCCTTCTGGACACCACCCTTCACTCGCCCCCGGGGCGTGTGTGTCCAGCCAGGTGACCAGGTCTTTGAGATTCCCCAGGCTCCATCTCCCCATTGCCGGGAGCGTGGGGCGGGAGCGGGTGGGCGTGGGCTGAGTGCGCCACGCGTGTCCTCCCCTCCCCACTCCCCCGTTCCCGACTCACTGCGCGCCCCGCGGAGCCGGCGGAAAAGGTTGCCTGTCCCTTTAAACGTCCAGACGGCCGCCCCATCTGATGCGGAGCCTCCAATCCGGGGCTCGGGGCCGGGGAGGCTTCAGCCGCTGCCGCCGCCGCCACCACCGCAGAGGCTCAGACTCCGCGCGCGGCCCCGGCTGCCTGCATCTCTCCGCCTCCGCCGGGCATCCATCTCCTGCCTCCGCTCGCGGCTCCCGCAGCTGTTGCTGCTGCTGCTGCTGCGCCACCCAGCCGGGATGGGTGCGGGGCCCGGCGCGGGGCTCTGAGCCGCCCCGCATCTCCCCCACCCCCGATCTCCGGCTCCAGCCTCTTCCCCTCCCCCTCTCCTCCGTCCCCTCCCCCAGCCGGGGGGGGCCATGCCCCAGGCGCTGAGCTGGGGGGCGGCCCCGGGGGCCCGGGCAGCGCGGAGGCCGGAGGTCCAGGTGCAGGTCTGTGTCCCTGTCCCCGAGGGCCCCCCCAGCGAGGCGCTTCATGGAGCGGCCCGGCCCTGGGTGCCGGGGGCGGGAGGAGGAGGATCCAGCTGGGCCCTGTGAGCCCCCAGCGCTGGCGGCAAAATGGTAGGAGGGCAGTGGGGACCCCGCTCCCATCCCCCAGCTCCCCCCAGCCCCCAACCTATATACAGCTCCTTGTCAGAGCCCAAGCTAGCATCCCATCCCAACCTCTCTGCCACCCCAAACCCCCCACCCCAGCATAGCACCCCAACCCCTGTCTTAAAGCCTGAGCCAGCCTCCCCACTCTCAAATCTTGACCCCATCACAGAAATCCCCACAGCCCCAATAGGGACCCATCCTTAACTCCAGACTAAGGGATAGGTGAGCAGTCTACCTCCCCTATACCTTATTCCTACCCCATTCCCAAAGGTCCCAGGGTAATTGGGACTAGCCCTTCTCCCTTCCAGTTAAAGCCAGCTCCCTAGCCCTTCATCCTCACCCTCCTCCAGATTTCCCAAGTGGAAAGACAACTAGGACATCCCAGTAACGGGGCCTCCCTCCGTGTCCCTAACCTCCTCCCAAATAGTAAGAGGGTACTTATCTCTCAAGTAGCCATAAACACACACACACACACA